ATTGCCTTCCCTTGGGAGGTCAAGTTCAGTGTTATCCAGGCATTACTTCAGAACAGCAATGTCTGCAAACAAAACTGCCAGGGCAGGTCTTGCAGGGACACTGGCAGGAAGCCCACAGTTCCTGACCTTGCAGGACCTCTGGAGCAAAGGACCACCCACTGGGCTGATCTGGCCAGCGCTCTCTCCCTCTCTGCATGGAGGGCTGGCAGGTGGTGCAACAGATGTCGACTACAAAGGGGGGTGCTGCAAAACAAGAAAGGGGATGTTCTCATTTGCCTGCGGTATTTTTGTGTCTGCTCTGTGCTTTCAGATGCCGTCAAGGTGGGGAGTGGTTGCTGCCCCTCCCCCATCTGCAGAGAGTAATTCTTTGTATTTCTAGTCACCATTCTCCAGTGTCTTAGATTTCCAGCTGTCCTGCTAACCAGCCGCCAGTGATGCATTTGTCTTCCTGCAAAACTTAGGTTAGTTTTGCATAGACAACTTGCCTATACCTTGGGGCCTCTGCCCCACAGCTGCGTGAGCAGAACCCCATGGTGATGGTGTTTCACGAGGAAAAAAATGGGTTTCGGTTCTGGCATCCCTGTATCCACCCCAGGGGTTCTGCCGGCATAGCTACAGGCATGTTGGCTAGGCAGTATAATTTGAACAGTAGAAATGGGCCTGTGCTGATGTGGACACAATTTGCTGCAAACATCATTCAGATTTGGGGCTTACCTCTGCTGCTCAGAACGCTGCATTTTGCTCACTGTGGGAGATGAACAATTGAACATGCAAGTTTGCTTGAGGGAAAAATACAATGACAGCAAAGCACGTTAGTTTTACTACAAGACAGTCTTCCTGCTATACAGCCACTTGGGCTGATCTTTGTGGGTACGTACAGGCATTTGGGGAGGTTTGCTAGAGTTAAAAAGGGCCACCTGATCTAAGGTAAGTCAGGAAGGGAGGGCCTATGGGGTGGGTTGTGATTAGGAGGGCTAGCGGGGTTTGTGGAGGGCATTGGGGGGGCTCAAGGGGTCCATGATGGGGGAGGTCGGGGGGGCAAGCAGGGACCACAGGGGGCTTGGAGTGATTGCAGGGGAGAGAGTCAGCAGGGTCCACAAGGGTGTTGCTGGGGTCTAGGAGGGTTTGGTGGAATCGGGGGCTAGCAGGGTCCATGGGGGGCTTGGGAGGATGGGGGGCTTTCTTCCCCCCACAGACCAGGGGCTAATTTTAGACCTCTAACCCCCATCCCATCCACCCCTTCCCTTACTTCAGTCCCCTACCACTGAAAGTAGCTTGTGGGATGAAGGGTTTGGTGGGCTGTGGGGCTGGCTGGTCCTCATGGTGGGGGGTTGTCCATCTGGGGGAAGGACAAGGGGCTGGGGGACTAAAAACAGCCCAGTGCCAGAGGGGTAGGTAGGAAAAGCACAGCCCCATGCCTGGGGCCAGTGACTGGGCTTTCCCAGCCCTGGGGCCATGCTGGGAACTATACAGTTAGATGATCCTCGCAAGATCCAATCTAAGTTAGACTACCTCCGAAGCAGGGTTAACTTAGATTGGGTCAGCCATTCCTTCCTGAACTTCTGTACAGTTTGCACTTAGACCTCTAGTTAGGTCAATCCAAGGGTGCAGACAGAAGTGACAATTTTCGCCCTATCTGGCCAAAGAAACTGGACTATAGCTGTGACCAAACAAAAGTGCATGGCTGCAGGCCACTGCATGAGGGGTCAGATGAAGATGTTTCAAAACATAGCATCATCTATACTTATGCTGCCTCCCAGCCTCAAGCTGTTTTCAAAATGGGAGCGGGGAAAGGGAGCAGAGGGAGTTCAGTCTGGGGTTTTTTACATCCCCTGCTGGAGGGTGAGTTGGGTGTATCGGATCCCCCCACCTTCCAATTCACCCACTCCAACCTCCAGCCCAGCTGGGGAACCCCTAGAATGAGTTCCAGCTGGTGAGCTTGCCTTACAGTAAAACTACAGTGCCATGTTTCCATTGTGTTTGTACCTCACATGCATCAGCCACTCCAGGGTTTTTAGCAGTCATGTGAAGTCCTAAGGAGGAAAATTTTCAAGACCCCATCCCAAATTAGATGCCCAACTGCCAGCAACTTGCAAAGAGCATGTAATGGCCTTAGATATTCTCTCCCATATCTGATGTAAGAATTCTAGATTCTCAGAGTCAGCTATCTGAGAGACTCCTGAAGGTCATGGTGAATGGCTAATCCCTTGGAAAGCAACACACCATCTTCTTTCTAGAGCACTGTCAACACGAGAACTCAAACCAGCAGCCTATTAGTTAGTGGATGCCATTGGCTTGGAACCAGGGCCTGCCTACCTCATGGGGAGCTGTACTAAAGTAGCTGCCCCTGAGCAGCCAGCCTGGTGCAAGCCTTATGGGTGCTGGCATAGAACATCTATGCTAAGGGACTGGTCTGCCAATTTTCTTGAGAATAATCTCATGTTGTATGGGGTGGTTCTTAATGCTGCAGCTTCTGAAGCCAGGTGTTTACATAAGAACATCTGCTTTCATAAGAGTCACAGAGCAAAAGGCTGGGAGGCCCTTAGGAAATTACCAAGTCCATTGCCAGCCTCAAGGTCAAGGTTAAGTGAAAAATCAGGTTGCGGGTGTCTCAACTTGGACACCAAAATCAGCTGATGCTTGTGACAGATTTGGTTTTAGTCTAAGGCCCGGTTCCCCATGGATGTGGTCTGTGGCTACACATTCCAGACTATTCAGCTTCTATTCTTGGTGTTTGTAGGATGAGTGAGCTCCATCCCTACTGTCCTGTGATTGCCCAGTGAGTAAGGCAATGGGGACTGTGTGAAGGACAATAAGGCTTCAAGACCGGCTGTGACCTTCCTTTATCCTGACATTCTTCCCACTGGAGCTGATGTAAAAATGCTGTGATACCAGTAGCCCATGCCCAGGTGCTGTCCATGAAGAGGAAAAGGTGGAGGGAGGAACAACCACGAGGCGTCATGAGGAGGAGGAGGAGGAAGGACAATTGCAAAGAGAATGTGGAAGAGTACACCAAGCAGGAACAGCAGGATCACAAGCCAACAAATGGAGAAAGAGGCAGGGCTGCAAGGCAGCGAGCAGAGGAAGGTGAAGTGGCATCAGTGTAGGAGGAGGCAGAGGACTTGGTACCAGGCCAGAAAGGGAGCAGTGGCAGTGGTGGTGACTGGATCACAACACAATACGCCATGGAAGAGGAGAAACCAGGGTGATACGGGGTCATGCAGAGGAGGGTGAAAATGCAGGGCCAGATGGGTGCACATGGAGGAGACAGGACGAGCAGTTAAGTGCCATTGGGAACGTGCAATGAGAGAAGCTTGACTGATAAGGAGAAAGGCTGAGAAAGGCCCTGACTGATAAGAAGCCTTCCAGGAGATCTTCTTCCCTCTTGTCCGATGTGTCCCCAAGGCCTTGAGTTGTGATTATGTAATTACCCTAGTCTGGCTCTCACTTCTTGCCTGCAGTGATCAGATGGGCTTTAGAGAAGGAGCCTTGTTTTTAGTGGGTGAACTTCATTCCCATCCATTCAGGCAGCAGGCAGAGAGCAAATTTGATGGGTGTGGACCCTCAGATCCTTCTACTGACTCCGAACTGCAACTAAGTGCCCCCCATCCCTTTACATTACCTATGTGGGCGCCTGGACTACAAGAGCCAATCTACGATAGGTCCTCAGCAAGCAGATTGATTCAAATTTGATTTCAAATGGCTTAAGTCTGTTTTGGAAAAATTCAGCAAAATCAGGTCAGATGCTCCTGAGAATGAAATGAAGGAAAAATATGTTCTTCACTCATATTAAAATAATTGTTACAAGCAAAGTTTGAGCACGTACACAGAAAACATGGTAATGTGCTAAAAAGCAATAGCGCTTATAACAATAAAGGAAAAATAGCCCAGGGAGAATCTCAAAATGTAATGAAATTCATTGTCATTTTACAGTGGCTTTGGCAGACAGTCAATATTTGTGTAAGCTTTGAAAATGTAAAGTGCTAATACGAGCGCCTGACTGTTACGGTCAGCAGAGCATACAAGCCTCTCTGCCGGCCGTTATGGCAGCTGCTCATCTCGATGCAAGCCACGCTGGATTTAAACTAGCTGGCCACGAGCAGAGAACGGCAGGTAGCTGGTTAGTGTGAACCCAGGCAGAAAGCAGGGCAGATTCACACTCTACCAACTAACTAAACCTGCTAGGCTTGGTTACAGTACGAGTGATACAAAGCACGCAGATTTAGAAATAAGCCAGAAGCGGCCTTGTGATAGCGCGATAAACTGAGATTGGCACAAAGACTAGAGCCCAATATAAAATGCCTCGACGATTAGGAAGACGAGGTTCTTTGGGCAACTCTGATATCTTTTATGAGATCAACTTCGATTTTTCTTAGCAAGCTTTTGGGTTTAAACACCCTTCGCCAGGCTGAGGAAGCACCTGCGGCGGGTGTGCGTGTGCTCTTCTGGATGGAGCGTTTGACAGCAAACCAAGTCCAAGAGCTGAGCTTTCAGCCGGCCGGCCTTAGGCTTGCGTAGGGCGAGCCGCACGGATCTGCCCTGCCCGTCAGGTAGAGGTTTGCAAACTTGGCCGGCGGATCCATCACGGAACGGGCGGCCTCTGGCTATGCTGCCTGCAGCAGGCCTTGAAAGCGCTCCTGGGCTTCTAGCTCATGCTTAGCCCTGGCGGGTTTCCACGTCGTTTCCCAAATCAGATCAGATCAGATCAGATCAGCCCCCAGGGTCCGCTCTGGTGGCGGAGGCAAAGGCAAAGGCAACCCTCCTGGCCCCACGTGCAGGCCCCTTTAAGAGCCCCTTCCCTTGGACACCGCGGCCGCTCGCTGATTGGCCGACGGGCTAGTCGCGCGCGGGGTCGAGGACACCACGCGCCGGCTCCGCCCCTTGGCCACTGACGGAGCGCCTCGCTGGCCAATGCCAGCCCACTTCCGCCACCCGCCGGCGCCGGCAGGCCACTA